AGCCACAATACGGCCAATTAGTAGCTGATCACTTAACCTTTGACCGCCAGGGCTTGTGGAAAACAACTAAGCCTCGGTTACATGGTTATATGAGAACTATTTGGGGTTCTAGTTTAAAGAAAAAAACATGAGAAAAAAAGCCAACATCAGCTTAGTCAGAAGTGCCCCTAAAACCTCCGTTGGGGACAGATGCCCCAGGAGTCAGTGCGGGAGGGAGACATGCCCGGGACTGGTATTATTGCGGAGTCTCTGCAGCTGATGAATGTGCAGCTTGTCCGGAAAAGCTGGAGTCCCAGCAGGATGCTTCTGGTTAACGCGCAGGACTGCAAGGTCGGTGGTTCAAGCTCACCAGCCGCTCCTCGGAAACCCTACACAGGGTCGTCATGAGTCAGAATTGACTCTACTTGACGGTATTTAATATCCACAACAACTGAGCAGCTGGTGTGGTATTGTAGGATACGCACCAGACTGCTAACCATAAAAGTCCCAGGTGCAAACCCACCAGCCACTCCTCAGGGGAAAGATGAGGCTGGCTGCCCCTATAAAAATGTACAGTCTCAGAAATCCAATATATGGTCATCATGAGTTGGGCTTTTGACTCGTTGGCAGAGTGGGGTTTGTTGTTTTGTTTTACTGAAGAGCTGCGAGTGACTCTTCCGAGACAAGTGTTTTTCCCTCAGGGCCCTGTAATCTGTTTTCTGTGGAGACTCCAGACAACAGTGTCTCCTTCTGTGTCTGGTGCTAAGACAGACAGCAGGTTCACTCTGGGCTCCACTTCCTCTCTGCTGTGACTGCCCTGCCTAAGACCCGTCTCTATTCCTTATGCTGCTGGAAGCCTGGGTCCTTGAGTACTTGGCAGGGCGAGTCTGTGGGATGCCATTTCAAACGTCTTTTGAAGTGGGCCTTCCATCACTTTCCGTAACAGGCGTCTCTGGAGGGATGGGCAGTGCCACTTCTCATCACTGCGTGTCTCGTCTGCATCAGTCCGAGCAGGAGCAGAAGTGAGCCACCTCTCCCAGCCAGACTCCCACATCCAGGCAAGGGGGCCTACTCCTTTCACTAATGCTGGGGAAGCACAGAGCGAGGAATCAGGAAAACCTTGCCCATTCCCTCTCTTTCCCCTTCTCCAAACCAGCTCCCTCTCCACCCACCTGAAGTTGACCCAAGGTATCACCAGCTAACTTTCTTCTGTTTAAACCTCTGGCCAGCAGCAGGCTGAGCGTCAGAGCAGAACTGCCCCATTGGGTTTTCTTGGTTGTCATCCTTACCAGAGCCGATCTCTGGGTCTTTTCTCCCACGGAGCCGGAGCCACTGTTTGGCCAGTTAGCAGCTAAGCGTTTAACTCTTGCACCACCAAAAGTACTAAACTGTTCAGTCAAGGCGGCATATTTGACTCTAATAATCATTATATTCAACTCGGTCATGTCTGGGTTAATATTTGTTATTAAATGCCGTTGAGTCGGTTCTGTCCCATAGCGACCCTGTGTGTAGGGTTTCTGAGGAGCAGCTGGTAGGTTTGAACTGCTGACCTTGTGGTTCCAACTAACCATGCAGTCTGATCCAGTGCTTTATCCTACAGTGCCGCACCAGGTTCATGTTTACATAGAGATCTGAAACACCCCAAAGGGAAAAGATGTCCCACACGTGTTGTGTCTGGTGCTGTTAAGGGGAGGGCTTGGAAGTGTCAGTGAGGTTGGGAGATATGAAAGTGCCGTCTTAAGACACTAGTCTCAACCCTGAGGGTCTACAGAGTCAGGTACAACAACTATAAATCCTTTGCAGCTGTAAGTAGAGTACCATCCCAGGTGCCTATTTTTTAAGATGAAGGCGCTCTCATAGCGTAATTGGGCTTCGAACCGCAAGATCAGCAGTTCAAAACTATCAGCTGTTCTGCGAGAGAAAGATGGGGCTTTCTGCTCACATAAAGATTCACACCTTCAGAAACTCTGTACAGGGTCACTATGAGTCGGAACCGACTCCACGGCACATAACAACATGGGTCGGAATCAAGTCAACGGCACTTAACAACAACCACCTTTCCCTGAAGTTGTCTATGGTCTTCCATTTACACCAAGTCAAAATGATAGTTCTGACATCTTTGAGGGACATAAATCATATTCATTTTCAACATTGAGTTATGAGTAGAAAACAAAGTCTGAAGGGGCAAGATGAGGGCTGAAGGATGGATAAGTGAAAACTTCCCAGTGAACTTCATGTAGGACAGAGCTTGCTACCCTTAAAGAATGTTTCCTTGTTGTAATGAAGGAAAATTCCCTAGCGAATATTCCCTACCCTTTTTCTCATGAATGCAGTGTTCAGTGTTCTTAAAGCTTCTTCCTAATCTGCAGTTTGAAACTACCAGCTGTTTCGCAGGAGAAAGATGAGGCTTTCTGCTCCTGTAAAGATTTGCAGCCTTGGAAACCCTGTACAGGGTCACTATGAGTCAGAACCGACTCCACGGCACACAGCCATCACCACCACCACTAGAGAAAAAAAAGAGAGACTCTGCCTGTTAGGGTTTCTCCACAAATTCACATTTCAGAAGTAACACCACTGCTTAGTGGCAGTTTATCTCAAAGGATTGCTCTATTAGGACATTTGCAAGGAAATTCAGTGATTCTGAAGCGGGCTGAAGTAAGAGTGAGACAAATGATTCATTCTAAGCCATTGTCTTACTAGTTCAAATGCCTGGCTCACCAGCTGTTGGGATTCTTCTGATGAAACAAGGTTGGGACACACGAATCAGGCCATCAAGTCAGTTCTGACTCATGTAAAGGTTTTTAAGGAAGGATTGGTGAGTTTGAGCTATTGACCTTGTGGTTCAGTGCCTTACCCACAGTGCCAACCATGACTCCCTTAGGAAGCTCTGAACTTGGAGCTGACTTTGTAGTGTAGTGGTTATGAGGTGGATTGCTAAGTTCAAGGTCGGCAGTTCGAAACTACCAGCTGTCCTGTGGAAGAAAGATGAGGCTTTCTGCTCCTGTAAAGGTTTACAGCCTCGGAAACCCTGCTCAGGATTGCAGCACATTACCACTACCACCAGGGGGCTCTACTGCATGTGTATTTATGTAACAAGTTTCTCTGTGGGCTCCTCTTATAGTTTTACCTTTTTGTCCTTTTCTGCATGGGTTTATGTATCTATCCTGAATCTTTCTGGACGTATGTTTCAAAGCCATTGTAAATCCTTCAGGGAATGAGGCAGTGTGGAATTATGCAGACAGACAGAACCAAGTGAACCCCTAAGCAAGCATCCCTCAGGTAGGGTCCTGGTGTTTCGGACCACTCAAAAGCCCCTGCTTATGGGGCGGGAAGAGAAACATTCAACAAACAAATCTATGTTGGAAGGAAGTCCAACCAGAATGCTCCTTTTCAGATGGCCAGACTTTGTCTCTCAGACTTTGGCCATGTTATCAGGAGGGTCCAGTCCCTGGAGAAGTCCTTCATGCTTGGTAAAGTGGAGGGTTAGGGAGAAAGAGGGAGACCCCCAATGAGATGGCAGTGGGCAGTAGCAATGGGCTTGAGGCTAACTGTGATTGTGAGGTTGTGCGGGACCAGGCAGTGTTTTGTTCTGTTGTGCACAAGGTTGCTATGATTTGGAATCAACTTGATGGAACCTAACAAGAGCAACAACAAAATCGATATGGGGCACACCACGAATGAGCAGTGCTTTCATAAAATAATAAAAATCATCATAAAAACCAGATGATGAGAACCGTGCAAACAATGAGTGCTTATTTAATACCCTGGAAACAGATCTGCCAATAAAGTGGATCACATTTCTTTTCTGATTGATTGTTGACAATTCCAGAGACAAGAAGTACCAAGGATGGTAGGTCACAAATGCCTGCCTGTCTTTGAGGAATAGCTTAGGAAGCTGGTGGCGTGAGAAGTGTGGATACTTAATGTGTATACAGCTGGTGAGGAAAGTGACCAGTACCGTCTGTGAGAGATGGGCATCTCTCCAACCCCACGCCCACACAGCCCACACTCACTACAGGTTTTATTGCCTGCTGCCCACCATTCCCTTTTACAAACAATGTCTTCAAGTCTACACTTTGCATTGGGTTTTTCTTAATGCCCAGTTTTGTCAAAGTCCTTTCAAAAATGCTTTCAGGGGTTGTTGAATTACATTTTCTTTCACGAGGAAGCCATGGCCGGTATTAAAAACCAATAATAATTTCATAGTTTCTCATAAAGGTGTAATTTGGCTTCATTCTTATTCATTTATTTTCACAGTGGGGAAAATAAAACTGTGTCCCCAAAAGCATCTCCATTTTTTTCCTGCCTTTCATTTAGTGATTGTTTTTTCCTATAGCTCCCAAAGAAAAATTAAAGTAATTTGAGACGGAAAAAATGCAATCTTATAACAAAGCAAGCTTTATCTGGATAAAGACCATGATCGATGACCACAACCATTTTAGTCCTTTTGGGTAAAATGAATACTTGGATTACATCTGAGAGAAGAAGTAACATATGAATTGATCTTCTGGGTTTTCAAATAGCTTCTCCCTTTTTACTTTGAATGAACTTGCTTGAAATTAATGAAGCAAATACCAGAAGCAGAGTCAGGTTTTGTGAGCCTTGAAGTCATACAATTTAGGTATGATACAATTTAGGAGACACTCTTTCCGAAAGAGAATATAAAAATAGCTTAGTTTTACCATGGTTTACAAAAACTTAGGACCACTTTATAACAACACATAGCTATGTGAACATACTACCAGAATTCCTCCCTGGATCTTGGATAGGGTTACACGAGAAAGAATGCTAAAGTTTACATTTTATTGGCTTCCTGGTAAGTCCTTTCTGGTGGGTAACTTATTGTGAGAAGTATCTACCTATACTGTGAACACTTGAATTCACTATCTGTGCATATAAACATAGGAAATGCCTGTACAGGGATCATATACAAGTCTAAATGTACGAGCACACAATTACGTATTGGGCATTAAACACACAAATGCACAGATAAACTTTGTTGATTTTGTTGAGCCTGAATATTCCCAAAGATCACACCCTGGCTTCATCTCCTCTTCTCCACGCCTTGAACTGTCCGCCAGAATTTAAATTTTCACTTTCAGAAGAAGGTACTCAATTTAACATGCTATCATTTGCTCAGACAAGCTGGCTCAAACAGAGTTTCCTGGATTGGTCTCATGCTGAGCAAGTCCCTATTCTCAAAGCCAGGTGTGACCTGGTAGGGTAGGGAGCACACTGCCAGTTGGCAGAGCTTGGCCTCTTTGTTTTCAGATACTTGTCTGGAGGTCTCCATTGAGGAGGGTCCTCTGGGTCTCCGTGGTCTCATTCAGCCGGGATTTGTCCTGCTTACTGTCGCTCCGTTCCCCATCATCTGTGCCACTCACCTTGACCAGGCACAAGACATTCTGGAAGCTCTTCTTGAAGTTGTCGGACAAGAAGGCATACAGGATAGGGTTGGCACAACTATTAGCATAGGTGAGGACCACCACAAAGTCAAACATGCCTTTGAGTGCTGGGGTGGGGTTGATGGCCACAGAGACCGATGAGACATTGAAGATGTAGAACGGGAGCCAGCAGAAAATGAAGACAGCCACCACTATGGATACCATTCGGGTGACCTTCTTCTCTGACTTTTTCCTCTTGGAGGAACCTACTCGGATTCCAGAGGACTTGACCTTGATGATAATGAATAGGTAGCAAAGACAAATGATGGTAAGGGGCACCAGGAACCCTAAGATGAAGGTGTAAATGATGAACCCTGTGTACCAGGCTCCAGATTCACCTGGCCAGTTGATGGTGCAGCTGCTTCTCCCCCACTGGTTGCTGCGAAGCCCGGCATAGATCATGATAGGCAAGATGACCAGCAGAGAGACGCCCCACACAGCCACGTTGATCATCTTGGCTGTGCGGGGTCTCCTCCACTTGGCCGACTTGATGGGGTGGACCACAGCCAGGTAGCGGTCGATGCTCATGACTGTCAAGCAGAAAATGCTGGTGAACTGGTTGATGCCATCCACAGTCATGACCACCCGGCAGATGGCCTTGCCAAAGGGCCAGTGGACCAGAGCCACCTGCATGGCCAAGAAGGGCAGGCCGAGCATGAAGAGCTCATCGGCAATGGCCAGGTTGAGGATATAAATGTTGGTGATGGTCTTCATCTTGGCATAGCGCAGGATGACATAAATGACCAGAGTGTTGCCACATAACCCGATGATGCAGACCACAAAGTAGATGAATGTGAGCACTGCATTGCTGGTCATGTCATAGTAGGGTTCGGTTTGGTTGGAGCCATTGGCTGTTACTATTGGGTCAGTGAGGTCCAACTGAGAGGCCACCACCCAGGCTTGGCTCCCATTGAGTAGTTTGTACACCATATCCATGACTCTTTGATTGTCTTAGGCTAGTTTCAACCAGCCCAAAGATCTTATTCTCACCTTCATGGGCCCTGGAAGCAAAGGATCCACCAGGGCATCTGAAAGGGAAGAAGGGAAGATTGACCCATCAGACACAGACTACTTAAACTCTCCCCAGCTGTCCCTCCCAGACACACACCTAAAGTGAAAAATGTGTTATCTGTCTTGTCAACCTAGGACTACCAACCCATCCTCATCAGTAAGTGGACTTTGGAGTTGATTTGCCAATAGCTGAGAAGGGCTTGGGTTAAGCCATTGTGTCACCTTCAGTGACAGACATTGGGAGAGAGCTGTGCTTGCAAAAAGCAAGCAATGTGATTTATAAGAAGCTGATTGGTCCAAAGTGGAAAGAGGTCAAGTTTAAGGAGGTTCGGCCCCTGGTCTCCTGGGGGTCTGAGGCTGGCATTCTTGGCCTGTTCCCCGTGAGGCTTGCAGACAATGCTGAAGCATTTCCATTCTGACAACAACCCCATGGTGGGAAAACCCTGGCCTTCAGAGGAGTAACAAACTGGGGTTCTGCCACGGAAGCCTATGAGACCTTGTCCGAGACCCCAAAACAGTCTGACCCCTGGCTGTTAAAATGTGATGTCGGGGAGAACAAACAAGATGAGGGATCGAGTGGAAGTACACTGAGGAGCTCCATCAGCAACAACACAGAATACCGGACCAAGAAGACTCAGGGGATGGTACCAGAACTCTGAACCACATATAAAGGAATATTTAGAAGGTTGGAAGGCTTACAGCTAGGGGAATTTGTAGCAAAAGCAAGAAACTCATTGCTTTTTAATTTAAGACGCTCAGCTGCTCCCAGAGCTGCCATTTTGGGCGAGACCACATAGGGGAAGGATCAGAGCCACCATGGACACCTGACAGAACCACGGAGATAAAGGTTTGGACGTTCTTTTATTTGTGTCTGTTCATTGGTCTCTTGCTGTCTGCGCACCTCCATTCTGGTGACTAGAGAGGGTGCCTGGGCAAGTGGAAACCCCAACCCCACCCTCACCCCCAGAGGCTTCTACTAGGCATGCGCACAGATCTTCTCAAAATTTAAAGAGACAGTTTCCACTTAAAACCAAATGGCAAGGATCAGACTTTAGCCACCTGGTAGACATAGCAAACTGTCCCTCATCTGATTATTCAGTAAGGCTTGTTAGTAATCTCATACATGAGCCCTGGATATCCACAGACAAATGTAAAAACCTTCCCTAAAAGCCGAGACTGTAAATTCCAAAAAGGCAAGCTCCCCCTGCCCCCCACCCCCAAAAGCTAAAGAGGATAGAGAGAAACACTGTTAACTGATGATATATGGAGGGGATAATAATCAATGTAATGAAACAAGCTATATGAATGGTTGAATGTGAAGCTGATGATGTGCCCTGTAAACTTTCACTCAATCCAAAATAAAAACATTTCATAAAAAAACCCCCAAAAAACAAACAAATGGCAGCACAAAAGGGCCACAGCCGGCCCTGAACTGTTTATCACTAGGAAAAAGGCCTGAACGGGGATTGTGGAGCAGGACAGGCAGGCTAAAAAGGAAATAGGCTGAAAATTAAATCCTGAGTTACGTCACAATGACCAACAGTAGCATCTTGAAATTTCTCAGGAAGAAAGAAGCCCATCTCCTGATCACATCTACCTGGAGGCAATCAGAAAGCATAAAAAAAAATTCCAAAATACACACCCATCTAAGTATTAAGGCCACAGATAACTCCTGAATATGCCCAAAAAACAGAAACAGATGACCATATCAGCACATGTCCAGAAACGAGATGAAGTGACTGAGGCAAATAAGCTGGAAGTAGACCTACACTCCATACTGGAAGATGGGCTGGCTTTGGAAATACCTAAGAAGGAATTCATAAATATGATTATAAAATGTATCAAAACACTATACAATGGTGTTGAGAAAAACAAGGAAGAAGTCAGGAAAGCACTACAGGAACAATCAAATAAGATAGATACAGCATTGGACATAATTCAAAACCTACAGAAAGAGGTCCAAACGATTAATAACAGAATATCAGAAATGGACAATACACTGAAAGGGCAAAGGAGTAGAACTGAAGAGATGGAATCCAGAACTAGTGAGCTAGAAGATAAATCTCTCAACACTACTAAGATAGAAAAACAAGCACAAAAAAAACAGATTTAAAAAAATCTGAAGAAGGCCTAAGATTCATGTTGGACAACATGAAGAGGAATAACTTAAGAATTATCAGCATTCTGGAACAGGAAGAATCACACAAGTCCACAGAAAAGATCATTGAAGAGTTTCTGGAAGAAAATTTCCCTAACATCCTGAAAAGTGAAAAGATAAGCATTCAAGAAGGTCAACGAATCCCAGGAAGGATAGACCCTAAAAGAAAATCTCCAAGACATATAATAATCAAGCTCTTCAAAATTGAAGATAAGGACAGAATCCTGAAAGCAGCTAGGGAAAAGAGAAGTGTAACATACAAAGGCAAGCAAATCACATTAAGCTTGGATCTCTCAACAGAAACCATGCAGGCAAGAAGGCAATGGGGAAACATATATAAAACCCTGAAGGCAAAAACTTCCAACCAAGAATCCTCTACCCAGAAAAGCTGTCAATCAAATACAATGGTGTAATCAAAACATTCTAGGATAAACAGAAGCTAAGGGATTTTGCCAAAGCCAACCCTGCTATAAAAAGCATCCTAAAGGAAGTTTTGTGGTCTGAGAACCAACAAGAACAGACAACAACTACAGAATGACAGACGTGGCAGCATCAACCTGAACTCAGTCGACAAATGGAAGAGTCAAGAACAGAATAAAATGATAAGAACAGTGGATCTGGGAGGTCAGTCTATGAGCAAAACGATTACAATGTGAAAGAAGGTAAACAGAGAGGAACAGAGATCCAGGCAGTGAAGAGGTCAGGTAGATTACAGGATAAAATAGACTGTCTTAAATGGAGGGAAGAATTAATGGGATATAAGGTAACCACAATAGTGGGGTTGGGGTCGGGGGTTTAGTTCAGGTGTTGGAGGGGGCAATACAAGAGGGAGGAGGTAGAAGAACAAGACAGATAGGGGAACACTGAGACAGGTTTGCATGGCCTAAGTGGGACAGAGGTAAATAGTGATGCATGTTCAACCTTGGAACAACAGGGCTCTGGGATATACAGGGATCTAGGTATAGCTTGAAGAGGGGAAATAACACTAACATGCTTGACTGTCTTATGAATATTGGTTTCCCTTGCCTACTATTGTAAAATAGACACTTGAGTGGGATAGAAAGGAATGTTGGGAAACATGATTATGGAAAACTTGTAAGCCTATCTTCAGCCTATAACTGATTGGAATACCTAAAAGGGGCTCTAGAACTTGCCCAGTGAAATAGGCCTCTTGCAAAGCCTTTGCAGAGTATAGGACCTTAGGTGGAATCCTGAGCCCCATCCAGAACGTTATGAGGTGGGACATTCCCACTAGAAAGGACAAGAAGACCAGGCAGGAACAGGTAGAGCAACAGAAGATACATCTTCAAAGAAAGGTCATCAGGAAAAACCCAAAACAAAAATGTCATCATGACTGGCTACTACAAGAATAAGCAAGCTGTTCACCAGGAAGCCATCTAGGCAAGCAATGAAGTTCCTTCAGGACAAACTCCCCTCTAAGACTGAAACTCAAAGGGAACACATGAACAAGCATGTAAGCTTAGGGTGACTACATTGGTCTACTGGTG